ACACAATCTTTATTGACTCAAAATTGCCAACAAATTGAATGTTTAGAACTGTTAAGTGAAAGGGTTTCCAACTTGTTTGTTCAAACCAAAACTCACAATTGTCGCAGTAATCAACTTTCAGAATCGTACAAATTTCGAACGTATTTTTGAATACAAAATTGTTCATGTTAAATAAAAACACACTTTTTGTTTCTTTAAAACTTATTGGGATGAAGTCTTTGATTGAACAGAGTGTTATATTCTCTGCATTGATTTGGTGTGAACTTGTCAGTTCTGATTTGTTCACAATCAATTTAATTACTTTGCTTGATACCGTTGGTTTGACACAATCACCAACTGTTAATGAATTAATAACATTTTGTGTTGTCACACATATTTTGGCAACTTTTAAAATGCAATTTTAAGTCTTTGTCGTTCAAAAACACGAAATTTATATTTGTGAACATCTTAAAAGAAAAATAGTTGTGTTCTTCAGCGTCGATTGTCACCGTGCAATTATTCAATTGAATCATATTAATTTCATTGGCACAGTTTTTATTCACAAAAACGTCACAGTTGTTTGTGAATTCCAAATTTAACTTCTTCAACTGTTTCAACATCATAAAGTCAATTTCCTTTCTCAAATTTTTAATTGACATTTCTTCAACACAAACAAATGGAAAATTTGGTATACTTTCCCACACCTTTTTAACACCTTTTCTGGTAGTTTTTACTTCACAAACAAAGTTTTCAAGTGTGACCTTTTTACTTAAGGACACGTGTTAGAAAATGTTATTTGCGTATTGACACTGATCACTTCTTTCACATTTAATATCTTTGGTAGTGTAAACTCGTTAGTATTATTACCCATTTCCATTTCGTTTCGTGGTTCTATATATTTTATTTTCAAGACTTCAATTGTATTATCCAACTGCATTTGTGACATATCAATTCAGTTTCCAACAAACTCTATTTGTGTCGGGTAACAATTACGAATAACACTTTCAAGTTTAGTCGTCTCTATCAATTTTCTAAATCCTGTTGTGTTGACTGTCACTAAACCACTGTTACAGATTGGACGGAATGTGTCTAATACATCTAAAAATATCGTCGAAGTGTAATTCTTGCAGTTTGGCGTGAGACTGACATATTGATCAAATCCCTTTTCATCAGACCAATCTATGTATATCTCACAGGAAAGTGTTTTAACAGCTTCGTTAATCTTCTCAAACATTTCAGAAGTTTCGTCTCGATCCCCCATATATATCGCGTAACTCTTACATGGTTGGAAGTACAAAAACACTGTTTTAAACAATTTGCGTTGAATTTTAATGTCAACAGATTTATTTATATACAAAAAAAAGTTGTAAAATGTTCGGACTGCCATTTTGACTTTGGTAACATTGGAGTCGACTACAATTTTAAATATTTGTGAAAATATTTCTGGATTAATTTCAACGCTTTCCATCAAAATGAATGTGGTAAACTTACTACAAAATTCTGGTGTTATCCAATCCTTTGTTTCCTCATATGATACCAAGTAATTTCTTATAAAAGTGGCTTTATTCAAAAGTTCTTTTGAAATATTAAATGATTTGCAGTTGATGGTGTCAGTCGTGTGAATAAAACAAAATTTTTCAATGTCCTCTTTTGCAGGAAACTATGGATTCACTTTTAAACAAGAAATTGATTGATAAGTTTTGTGATATACTTTGAACAAGTTCTCAACGTCTATCATC